AATGGGACAGGAAACCCAAATCAATATTTAGTCCTCTATTCTTGTTGTTAATAAATTGGATCATTCTGGCTTCAAAAGTTTTTCTTAGAATTAGTTATAATTATTATAATTATATTGAAGAAAGATGCACTCTAAAGAATATTAATGGTCTTTAATCCATCAAAGGTTTACAGGTTGTTTGATCAACGTTTCGACCCGTTATATATAATGTCTTTCTTTGTCCTTTCACACACACTATAGATTTTTTTAAATGCCGGGTGCAATTATAGCCATTGCCAAAACTTATAATGTACTCACAGTCTTTTCCATGTAAAAAGTTTCTTTATTTCATATACAAGTTAAAAAGCGATTAACATTTCAGCCAACATCCGTGGCTTTCATGAGGCTCAATACATCACGTGATGTATTTTTTTGCGATGTTGTACATTTGCGACCAGGCCTCTTTTTACACTTTTGTGGTGTTTGTGTTTAGCTGTAATTTTCCGCTCTTTTATTTACTGTTCCCATACAAATTATATATTGTTTTTTTCAGGACAAAAAGGGCTTTCATTAAACACCATTATTTATATAATCTCATGTAATTTAATTTAAAAAAACAAAAAAATATGATGCAAAATTTAAAAAATACATGTTTTTTTACTATTAATTGAAAAATCTTTTACTCATCTAAAAAAGCTAATGAAAAAAACTGCTAAATAGATTCAAAATTTTGTCCTGAGTTTAAAAATACCCAGTGTTTACATGTCTTTTTTTTTTTTTTTTGCAAGTTATAGTGCTATAAGTACAAGTAGGATATTGCGATTTCAAAACACACATTTTTAAAATTTATCAATAGTGACATTGTAACACTATTATCTGTCATAAATCTCTGGAAAACACCCCAGATGTATATATTTTTTTTTAAAATAGACAACCCAGGGTATTCATCTAAGGATATTTTGACACTTTCTATGCAGCCATTTTACCACCAGTCTTTGCCAAACTTCACATAGGTATTTTTGGAAAGTAGACACCCTAGGGTATTTCAAATGGTGATATTTTAACACTTTCCATGCACTAATTCTACCACCAGACTTTGTCAAACTTTTAAGTAGTAATTGTTTTTGTGTTTTTTTCACACACATTTTACTTTAGGCATGAATTAACAGATCGTGTTATGTGTCACTGCCAAACAACACCCCAATATGTATTCAGCAACATCTTCTGAGTACAGTGATACCACCGATGCATAGGCTTGTCGGGTTGTTTGGGTGCTAAAAGGCCACATTTGGCAGGTGCGCATATCCATTTTAGATAGCCACTTTTTTTATACCAGGCTTTTGTCTTTCTTAAGATAAGATATGGCTGCATCAGCTGATCAGCCAAATCAACACCCTCATGTGCATTTTATAAGCCCTGATGCAAACTGGTTTGGTCTGTACTCTGCTTCGGACAGTGACGTCTGACATGCTTTCATCATGGATGGTGGTTAGTATATTAACATCCTTCTTGTCCTTAAATTTTATTGCAAGCACTTAAGCTTTGTGCAGACTTTTACATTCACTTTTTAATTTGGCCTCTATAAAAGGTCTGGGGAAATCCTTGGCATTTCTTCTCACAGTGCCACAGGCCAATATCTAGAAACCCTAAAGAGTTTGAAACAAATGGACAATGCTGTAAAAATTGTCCACATAAAGGTGGTAACCTTTATTGAACAAGGGGATCAGGTCCCAAACAAGTTTCCTGCTTGTCCCCAGAGAGTCAGGACAGCGAGGCGGGTCCAGTTGACCATCTTTCCCCTCATATACACAAAAGGCAAATGTATAGCCCCTTTACTCTCGCACAGTTTGTAGAATTTTACGCCATACCTAAAGCGCTTTGAGGGGATGTATTGTTTGAATCCTAATCTCCCTTTATATTTCATTAACGATTCATGAATAGATAAAAAAATTTGAGGAGTATAAACTTCTGTAAATTTGTGCTGAAGATGGTCGACCAGTGGGTGTATTTTATGAAGCCTATCATATTGGGTGTGATCTCTGGGGTGACAGAGGGTATTGTCATTGAAATGTAAGTATCTCAGCAGCAGCTCATATCTTGTTCTAGACATGGTTTGGGAGTACACAGGACTAGAACAGATTGGGTTGGTGCTCCAGTAAGAGCGAATTGATGGCTTCTTTATAATCCCCATGAGAATTGTAAGAGCCCAGAATTTTTTAAGTTCAGCGACATCTGTGGGATGCCAAGCACGCTCCTCCCTGACTGCTTAGCTATCTGGATTTGTATCAATAAATTGGGTAGCATGTAAATTAGTCTGGGGAGCAATCAACTCCCAGATGGTATCCCCTAAAAATAGCTCCATATATTGCATAGGGGAGAAGTCATCCACATTGACATTAATGCCTGTGTTGGCACTAAAAGGGGGGATTTTGGGCTCAGCTAACTGTGGAGAAACCCGTTCCTCCTCCACATTTGGCGTAGCAGAGAAAGCACAGCTTTTTTTTGCAGCCGGCTCACACACAGATGACATGTCACTAGATGTGTCAGAAAACTGACCTGGATCAAAATCGGACGCAGTGTCAGAGTCTGACTAACACAGAGTTACTAACACACAATTTTTTTTTATTTTATACTAAAAACAGACTAAAACTGATAAAAATAAACTAAATGAGACTAAAACTTCCGTTAGCAGCAATCTGTAAACTAACTCCTGCAAAAAGAATCTAACTGGAGATTTGGGGGAAGGATACTGACTAACAGAAATTTGCTGCTTTCAAAATAAACCAAAAAAATAAATCAGGAACAAGTATTATAAAAATGTATTTTCTGTGTGGTAGACCTTAAAACATGCTCCAATACACAGTCCAGGTTTTGTAGGGCAATCGGGACAGTGGAAAGGGGTGTCTGCCCTTTTCCCTTTTTTATAACAGAAGGGGATCAGTAGGTCCCAAACAAGTTTCCCACTTTTCCCCAGAGAGTCAGGACAGCCAGGAGGGTTCAGTTGAGCATCTTTCCCCTCATATACACAAAAGGCAAATGTGTAGCCACTTTCGCTCTCGCACAGTTTGTACACTTTAATGCCATACCTAGACCGCTTTGAGGGGATATACCGTTTGAACCCTAATCTCCCTTTATATTTCATAAGGGCTTCATCAATAGATAAATTTTATTAGGGAGTATAAACTTTAGAAAATCTGTTCTGAAGATGGTCTACCAGTGGGTGTATTTTATGAAGCCTATCATATTGGGGGTGATCTCAGGGGTGACCGAGGGTATTGTCGTTGAAATGTAAGTATCTCAGCAACAGCTCATATCTTGGTCTAGGCATTGTTTGGGAGTATATAGGAGTCAAACAAATTAGGTTGGTGCTCCAGTAAGAGTGGATTGATGGCTTTTTTTACTATCCCCATGAGCATTGTAAGAGCCCAGAATTTTTTAAGTTCAGGGACATCTGTGGGATGCCAAGCATGCTCCCTGACTGTATAGCTACCTGTATTGGTCTCAGTAAATTGGGTAGCATATACATTAGTCTGGGAAACAATCTCCTCCCAGACGGTATCCCCTAAAAATAACTCCATATATTGTATAGGGGAGAAGTCATCCACATTCTCATTAATGCCTGCGTTGGCACTAAAAGGGGGGATGTTGGGCTCAGCTGACTGTGGAGGTACCCAGTCCTACTCCACATTTGGCGTAGCAGGGGAAGCACAGCTTCTTTTAGCAGCTGGCTCACACACAGATGACGTCACTAGACGTGTCGCTAAACTAACCTGGGTCTGACACCAAGAAGGCATATGCCTCCTCCAAGCTGTACATGCGCTGCATGTTTCACACTAACAGACTAAACTAACAAAATACTAAACACAATTTTTTTTTAAATATATAAATATATTTTTTATTATTTATTTTTTTACTAAAACAGACTAAAACAGTAATCCCTAAACTAACTCCTGTTAGAAGAATCTAATGGAGATTTAGGGGAAGCAAACTGACTGACTATGACAGACTACGACAGACTACGACAGACTAAGACAGACTAAGACAGTCTAAGACACAGATTTTTAAAATAAAGTTAACTATTAAGGGCAAAAGAAAAATACAGACAGTACAAATGCACTGTCTGTAACAGATCTGGCAGGGAAGGGGTTAAAAGGGGATTTTTATTCACTGCTGATACTTTTTAAAACTCTCTGGAACACCTGCTGCAACAAACTATCACGATCTCTGTCTCTCTCACCTCCCAAAACGCTACAGAGGGGAGAGAGGCAGAGATCAGTGACAGCAGCCAATTGTGAGCGATCGCGGATCGCTCACATACCACAATTGGCTGTTACTATCTGCCTGGGATGCCGGGCAGATAATATAGACATCCAATTTGATTTAGTATCCTGCAGAGCTTAGCAAATTTTATTCTTTTATCCTCTCTTTTCCCCTCTCTTCTTTCTTATTTCCTTTCCTTCCCTTATTCCTCTTACATTGAAACATAGAATGTGACGGCAGATAAGAACCATTCGGCCCATCTAGTATGCCTAATATTTCAAAATACTTTTAATTAGTGCCTGGCCTTATCTTAAGATTGGGATAGCCTTACGGCTACCAACACATGCTTAAACACCCTCACTGTGTTAACCTCTACCATTTCAGCTGGAAGGCTATTCCGTGCATCCACCACCCTCTCAGTAAAGTAATACTTCCTGATATTATTTTTAAACCTTTGCCACTCTAATTTAAGACTATGTCCTCTTGTTGTGGTAGTTTTCCTTCTTTTAAATACAGTCTCCTCCTTTACTGTGTTGATTCCCTTTATGTATTTAAATGTTTCTATCATATCCCCCCTGTCTCGTCTTTCCTCCAAGCTATACATGTTAAGATCTTTTAACCTTTCCTGGTAAGTTTTATCCTGCAATCTATGAACCAGTTTAGTAGCCCTTCTCTGAACCCTCTCTAAGGTATCAATATCCTTCTGAAGATATGGTCTCCAGTACTGCGTACAATACTCCAAGTGAGGTCTCACCAGTGTTCTGTACAATGGCATGAGCACTTCCCTCTTTCTACTGCTAATACCTCTCCTTATACAACCAAGCATTCTGTTAGCATTTCCTGCTGCTCTATTACATTGTCTGCCTACCTTTTAGTCATCTGAAATAATTACCCCTAAATCCCATTCCACAGATGTTGAGATTAGTAGGGTATCAAATATACTCCACCCTTGGGTTTTTACGTCCAAGGTGCATTAACTTTCACTTATCCACATTAAATGTCAGTTGTCCTTCTTTCCCTTATTCCCATTAATTATTCCTATTATAGTGTAAATTAAGTAGACTAAGATATTCTACATGTTGTATATTTAATTAAACCTATAAGCTAAAAATTAGTTACTTAGTGTTTGCATGGATTTATATTAGTTTAAAAGTTAGAGAGTTTGATCTGCAATTACCCTAATATCCAGTCAAGTTTACTCAGAAAAGCATTACAATATTTGAAATGTTTTGACCCTTAGTACCAAATTGGTTTACTAAGTATATGTCACACAGCAGGTCGGTGGAGACCACGTGCCCGGTTAGCAAATCCCAAGATTGTAATGACCAGGGAACACAAGACAACCAGGGTTTCCGGTCTTACCATGCGATCCATGCGTATGGTGTACTATCAGACCAGGTAGTAGGCCTTCCCTAGTCTTGTTACCCGAGCAAGGCAGTGCCTGTTTGCTTCATGAAGGTCTCCATATCTCATGTCATCTTGAAATGGGAAAAACTGTCTGCGCAGTTTGTTCGCAATGGTCCGGATATCCAAAACAGAATGTGATTCTCTGTTTTATATAGCGCAGAATATACCAAAACCTGCACTCTTGTAATACCTGAGGCTCATCCGTTAGCCGTACCGTCTCCAGGAGTGTGTGTAAATAAGTGGGAGTCTCCCCCCGATTTACCTCTGTGAGTATTTCTCGCGTGTGGTACAGTGGTCCGGATCCAGTAGATCCATTATAGGAGATAAAATAGAGGGATCCAGTCTAAATATGTATATCCTGCATGATCAGGCAGCCCTCTATAACGAAATCAGTAGCACAGTCGTTAGATCTAATTGAATGCAGGAGGGACGCCCCTCTATGCAGTCATCGAGGTCTTGTACAGGTACAAGCCTGTGTGATGAACAAATGGATGGCACCATAGAGCATTGAGTGTATGAGAGAGGCGTGCTCTCTAATAATGTGACCGAACTCCGTGTCAGCATCCGGCTGATAGTCTGAGCGGGCCGCACCCGCTAATAACCAAATAATAGCGTCTACATCCATGACCGGTTTTCTCTACGAGAATGTGTCACTCAAAACATGTCTTCTGTATCCAGCACAGTATCGGGCTGAGGTTAAGGAAGGGCTGCTCCCTCTAATAACAAATCAGTGGACGGTTCCGTATATGAGAGGGGTTCGCTCTCTGTACGTGCAAGTAAAATATAATTTTCGGGTCGAAGTGATGGAGGGCCGCACCCTCTTGTAATCCAAACTAGAGTTTCTTAGAGACTTAGGGTGACCCACTGCAGGGATACACCATTTACTAATATCAGTATAAGACTGATATCCTGAGGTGGGTCTCTCTCTGACCACGAGACCTCTCTCTGTATCGCCCCCCTGAGATGGAATCAACTGTTAGTAAACCAGACCGATGGAAGATGAAATAGTATACAACCTCGGGCCATGTCCATCCTTAATAATAGAAAGGGATGGTGATGGAAACTACCAACTGACCGCCCGGATCCCGTGCACACGCGCGGGGTCCAGGATAATCGACAGTAGCCTGAGGAAAGCTGGAGACGTTCTCCACAATCCACGAGAGCCCGGGAGGTCGGAGGAGGTCAAGTCAGGCCTCGCGACGACCCGAGAGATAGGACAATTGGAAGGCAAACAATGTAGACGTTAAATACATACCTCAGAGAGAAGGTAAATAGTAGATCGGAACTGCTAGCCAAGTAAACCCAACCGAAGGAGTCAGGAGCTGAACCTGACGTAGGACCAACTATCAAATACCTAAGATGGATACCGAGAAGGCAGCTAAATGGTTAGTTGCTGAAGGCAAGGCAACCGTGCTCCCCTGTTGGCGTTTGAGCGTTGGTCCCTGCTTGTGCGAAATTCTCTTTGGAGATGCGCCACCGCCGGGTTGGTGTAAACCGTGGTGGCGCGCCCGGGGATCCTCATAAAAAACCTTGCCCCGCAGGGCATGAGACTTAGGGCATTCACCCATCCAATCATATTGAGATGCCCGTATACTGGTGTCCTCTTGGTTAGTAAGGCAGCAGTGCTTGCATGGACACCCACCTATGTCCATGTCAATAGAGGGTACTGGGCTTTTCTCAGTGATATCCTCCCAGGCCTGTGGCCAAAAGGGGTTTCGGGCCCAGATAGTTCAGGTCGACCAAGGGACCCAGATAGTGCAGGCCAGTCAGGACGGCATAGGTATAGCAGTGTCAGGATCGCCATTGTGCTTTACACAATATTGTGTATTTGGGTCTGGCTGGGATCAAACCTGAGTTTCCTGCATCCCAGTCGGTATCCTTGCATTGAGCTCCACGCATCTTTGACTGTGTCTGGTTGTTCTTGGTATCCTGTAGTCTGAGCCTGTACGCCTGGAATGTGCACACCTGTTCCTGGTTCCTTGATGATTGGCTGAGACTCCCTATTTAAACCCCGCAAGGCTGGTTCTCGTTGTCAGATCGTGTTTCCTGTTCCTGTTTGGTTTCACTGCTGTTCATCTGACTCCTGCTTTTGATCTCCTGCTCGTCTACTGTTTTCGCCTGATTGCTGCCCGTCCTGACTTCTGATTCTGATACTGACTACTCTTCTGGATATCCTTGTCTGTACTGCGTTCCAGGAAGCACTGGTTATTTCAGCCCCAGTGCACTGTGTCACAGCCTTGGGGATTTCTGTCCTGAGTCCCCTCGGTCTGTGTCGAATTGCAAAGGGTGCCTCAACTCTGCGTGTCGGACTCCCACTTCAGGTAAGATCCTTGACAGTACGATCTGACCAAATGGAGTCTGCAGAGTTGAAGATTACCGTTGCAGCCTTGACCCAGCAAGTTTCCCAGCTCACCCAGGCTTTGCAGGGCTTACAGCAGGAGCTGGCTTCCCTTAAAGGGAGAGTAACCTATGACTCTGGACTCTCTGAACCGCTGGTTGCTCTACCCGAGAAATTTTCTGGGATCCGGTCTAAGTATGATACCTTCAAAGTTGATTGCGAGGTCCTGTTCTCCCTGAGACCACTTACCTATGCCACAGACGTCATTAAAGTGAGGACAGCGATTACCTTATTGTCGGGGCACCTTAAGATCTGGGCCCACCAGTTGTTACTCACCAAAAGCCCAGTCCTAGATTCCTGGGAGTCCTTTATTCGGTCCCTGGGTTTACAATGCAACAAGACACAAAAGTCATATGTACATAGATCACCTACTGTTGCTTCACACATATTGCAACCCGGACTGGAAATGGACTACACTACTCCTTTCACTCGGACTGATGTTACAGCTAACCCTACCGCTCCCAAGTCTCCCGAAACATCATATACATCTGGCAGGGAGGCGGAGGAACCCATGGAGATTGGACTGGTTAGGTTCCGTCAGTCATCTCAAGAAAGGGCAAGAAGGATGGCGCATGGACTGTGTTATTATTGTGGGGAGATGGGACATTTAATATCTTTTTGTCCCATTCGTCCATCTAGGTCTCGGGTTCTCCGTCTGGGTACTACTCTGGCATATCCTATGAGACCTGTCTGCCAACATGCTGCCTGTCCTTGCTTGAACACTCTGTCCAATCCTCAGCCTTCTACAGTCGTTGCTCCTGAGGTTGTGCAGGAATCTGTTACTAAAGAACCTGAGATCTCTATTTCTACTAAAGATTCTGCTTCTAAGAAGGCAAGCACCACAACCACTACAAGTCCTGTCAAGGAAGACCCTCTTTCTGGCTGTACCTATGCCTCTAATGGGACTCTAGTCCGGAAGGAGGACTTGCAAGTATTTGAAAAGGCCCTACAAGCTATGACCTCTGCTCCTACTAGTACCACCAAAGCCAAGAAATCCAAAAGTAACCTCCTGGGTCGTAAGTTGCGTTCCTCTTCTCGCCTACGGCGTCTTTGAAGGGGGGGTAATGTCAGGATCACCATTGTGCTTTACACAATATTGTGTATTTGGGTCTGGCTGGGATCAAACCTGAGTTTCCTGCATCCCAGTCGGTATCCTTGCATTGAGCTCCACGCATCTTTGACTGTTTCTGGTTGTGCTTGGTATCCTGTAGTCTGAGCCTGTACGCCTGGAATGTGCACACCTGTTCCTGGTTCCTTGATGATTGGCTGAGACTCCCTATTTAAACCCCGCAAGGCTGGTTCTCGTTGTCAGATCGTGTTTCCTGTTCCTGTTTGGTTTCACTGCTGTTCGTCTGACTCCTGCTTTTGATCCCCTGCTCGTCTACTGTTTTCGCCTGATTGCTGCCCGTCCTGACTTCTGATTCTGATACTGACTACTCTTCTGGATATCCTTGTCTGTACTGCGTTCCAGGAAGCACTGGTTATTTCAGCCCCAGTGCACTGTGTCACAGCCTTGGGGATTTCTGTCCTGAGTCCCCTCGGTCTGTGTCGAATTGCAAAGGGTGCCTCAACTCTGCGTGCCGGACTCCCACTTCAGGTAAGATCCTTGACAAGCAGGCCCATCAAATGGTCACAGACATAGCAGGCCAAACAATGAGGCACAGACATAGCAGGCCAATCAATGAGGCACAGACATAGCAGGCCAATCAATGAGGCACAGACATAGCAGGCCAATCAATGGGGTACAGACATAGCAGGCCGATCCTGGGTTGTGTCTAGATGGGCAATAAGGGACCCCTGTGTATGGTCAGATTCCCTTAAATAGTTCCCAATCTTCAGGGTACACTGTGACATAGGGCAGATACCAACCCCTTTAGACAGTGTAATACTGTGTAATGACATATAACTGGGACTTGTTGTCCCTAAATGCCCAGCAGGCAAATAGTGGTATTCGAGTTGTGTAGGGCATAAGCTGAAAAAGTTCCAGTGATAATAGTGTCCATTAAAGCATGATATACTGAGTGATACATTTTTTAACTGAGAATAGGTTATGCACATAAGCATGGAGACCAGAGATTACTTCATCGAGTTATGCATCATCAGCATGCCATCCGAAGGTTATTGTACCCATGGTATATTTTCAGGAATAGGGTAATAGAATAGCCAATTCAATGCACCCCCTTATTGAGCTTGGAAGGGACCACCTTCCAATTCTAGACGGTAAATACATACCTAGGAGAGAAGGTAAATAGTAGATCGGAACAGCAAGCCAAGTAAACCCATCCGAAAGAGTCAGGAGCTGAACTTGACGTAGGACCAACTATCAAATACCTAAGATGGATACCGAGAAGGCAGCTAAATGGTTAGTTGCTGAAGGCAAGGCAACCGTGCTCCCCTGTTGGTGTTTGAGCGTTGGTCCCTGCTTGTGCGAAATTCTCTTTGGAGATGCGCCACCGCCGGGTTGGTGTAAACCGTGGTGGGGAGCCCGGTGATCCTCATAAAAAACCTTGCCCCGCAGGGCATGAAACTTAGGGCATTCACCCATCCAATCATATTGAGATGCCCGTATACCAGTGTCCTCTTGGTTAGTAAGGCAGCAGTGCTTGCCTGGACACCCACCTATGTCCATGTCAATAGAGGGTACTGGGCTTTTCTCAGTGATATCCTCCGTCCGACCGCACTGGAGCTCGGGGAGTCAGAGGAGGCAGCCAAGCGGCTAGTCTCCTGCCTCCCCGAGCGGAGCACCCATAGCCTGCCGGGGGCTAATAGAAGGAGGGCGCTATGGGAGAGAGGCAACTGAAAGGAACCCCCCAAAAACCAACCATGAACAGAAAACATCCCCAAGCAACCAGAGAAGCAAAGGGTAAAAACGGCGATAATCCCAAGTAAATAATAATAAATTTACAACGACATACAATATCTAATTAATCAGTAAATAATGAAGCGAAATAAAAGGGATATAACTGAAAACCATAAACATAAAATATATATATAATACATATTGTAACTATGTAACTATGTAAATATTAGTAATATAACTAAATATAACATATATATATATATATATAATATATAATATATAAATAACAAAGAAATAATCTTAAGTGAAATATAATAGATATAACGAAATATCATAAACATAAAATATATATACGGTTGCAAGAAAAAGTATCTGAACCCTTTGGAATGATATGGATTTCTACACAAATTGGTCATAAAATGTGATCTGATCATCATCTAAGTCACAACAATAGACAATCACGGTCTGCTTAAACTAATAACACACAAAGAATGAAATGTTGCCATGTTTTTATTAAACACACCATGTAAACATTCACAGTGCAGGTGGAAAAAGTATGTGAACCCTTGGATTTAATAACTGGTTGAACCTCCTTTGGCAGTAATAACTTCAACCAAATGTTTCCTGTAGTTGCAGATAAGACGTGCACAACGGTCAGCAGTAATTCTTGACCATTCCTCTTTACAGAACTGTTTCAGTTCAGCAATATTCTTGGGATGTCTGGTGTGAATCGCTTTCTTGAGGTCATGCCACAGCATCTCAATCGGGACTCTGACTCGGCCACTGAAGAAGGCATATTTTCTTCTGTTTAAGCCATTCTGTTGTTGATTAACTTCTATGCTTTGGGTCATTGTCCTGTTGCAACATCCATCTTCTGTTGAGCTTCAGCTGGTAGACAGATGGCATTGAGTTAATTTTTCCTTCGATGATAGCAATCCGTCCAGGCCCTGACGCAGCAAAGCAGCCCCAAACCATGATGCCCCCATCACCATACTTCACAGTTGGGATGAGGTTTTGATGTTGGTGTGCTGTGCCTTTTTTTCGCCACACATAGTGTTGTGTGTTTCTTCCAAACAACTCAACTTTGGTTTAATCTGTCCACAGAATATTTTGCCAGTACTGCTGTGGAACATCCAGGTGGTCTTGTGCAAACTGTAAACGTGCAGCAATGTTTGGTTTGGACAGCAGTGGCTTCCTCTGTGGTATCCTCCCATGAAATCCATTCTTGTTTAGTGTTTTACGTATTATAGATTCGCTAACAGGGATGTTAGCATTTGCCAGTGACTTTTGTAAGTCTTTAGCTGACACTCTAGGATTCTTCTTCACCTCATTGAGCAGTCTGCGCTGTGCTCTTGCAGTCATCTTTACAGGACGGCCACTACTAGGGAGAGAAGCAGCAGTGCTGAACTTTCTCCATTTATAGACAATTTGTCTTACCGTGGACTGATGAACAGCAAGGCTTTTTGGAGATACTTTTATAACCCTTTCCAGCTTTATGTAAGTCAACAATTCTTAATCGTAGGTCTTCTGAGAGCTCTTTTGTGTGAGGCATCATTCACATCAGGCAATGCTTCTTGTGAAAAGCAAACCCAGAACTGGTGTGTGTTTTTTATAGGGCAGGGCAGCTGTAACCAACACCTCCAATCTCATCTAATTAATTGGACTCCAGTTGGCTGACATCTCACTCCAATTAGCTCTTGGAGATGTCATTAGTCTAGGGGTTCACATACTTTTTCCACCTGCACTGTGAATGTTTACATGGTGTGTTCAATAAAAACATGGCAACATTTCATTCTTTGTGTGTTATTAGTTTAAGCAGACTTTGAGTGTCTATTATTGTGACTTAGATGATGATCAGATTACATTTTATGACCAATATGTGCAGAAATCCATATCATTCCAAAGGGTTCACATACTTTTTCTTGCAACTGTATATATAAAATATAATATATAAATATATAACCTGGTAGCTGAATATAATCAATATAAATCATAAATACAACCCGAAGCCACCCTAGAAGCAGGAGGCAGTGGTACTCTGACCTGTACTGACTGCGGAGCAGCAAAGAAAGAGGAAATTATGCATGAGGCGGGGAGTTTTATAGTACCTACTTTTTTCTGATTGGTTGTTTTTCTGTGCTGCTGTGGAGTTCTAGTAAAGAGAGACTAAAGCAAATACAAAGCCTCCTGTCATGTTATAAAATTATGGGACGACCTCCCACACACTTTCAGATCTTCCCCAAGCCTAAAGTCCTTTAAGAGATCCCTCTCTACATACCTCAAAACAGAATGCACGTGTCAGGGTTGATTATATATTTCCTACCTGTTCTATGTTAAATTTTGTATATATTGTGTATTAATATTGTTTTTGTATTTTATTGTACCCTATTGTATCAATGCAAAGTTTTGTGGACCCAGGACATACTTGAAAACGAGAAAAATCGCAATGTATCTTTCCTGGTCAAATATTTTATAAATAAATAAGTAAATAATAAACTCTACAATCAAGTATAGTTGTTATAGTTTGTAGGGTACGCATCATGTATTAAAATCTTTTAGTTGCAAATACTGCACTTTTATTAAATATATCCACACACAGAGTTTCTTTGAGAAGTTACACATAGAATTCTACATTAACTTCTCCCTATTCCCAGCAGAAAGTGAACGCACAGTGGAGCAGGTTGCCTCATGCTAGAGAACACATGTAATTATACCCTAAATGCTCTATACTCCCTATAGAAAGTGTAAGCTCTTGGTCACGTGCACACGGAATGGCTCCTAAATAAAGAATAAAAACTCTCAAAATCATCTGCAGAACCTTTATACTGAGAGTTTTAACAATATTCATATTTACGAATTACAGAGACATATTCGCTTTGTAAGTACTGACTACATTTTATATATTGTAACTATTTTCTTTCAACAAAATTAATGAGTAGTTTGTGTTTGTAAATTACTAACTTTTCTCTCAAATATATGGTAACTGTAAAATTGACATTTAATTGTCATAAAATAAATAGGAGATACACACTATAGCAAGCCTCACAATCACACTTTATTAGATTATATACTTCATTTACATCATATGGATCCTCTAACTAGCTGTTTAATTAGCTTCCTTTTCTGTTAATAAGTTAATTTCATGATTAACATAGTTGTCTTCTGTGCCAATGCAGTTGTAAAATTTAGGTCAGATGAACTAAGTTAAAACATTTCTTTAAGTAGACTAATTATTCTGATCAGCCACAGCATTAAAACCACCAACAGGTGAAGTGTATAACATTGATTATTTCATTACAATGGCACCTGTCAAGGAATGGTATATATTACGCACCAAGTGAACAGTCAGTTCTTGAATTTCATGTGTTAGAAGCAGGAAAAAAAATGGGCAAGCGAAAAGATCTGAATTATTTTGAGAAGGACCAAATAATGATGGCTAGACGACTGGGTCAGAGCATCTCCAAAATGGCAAGTCTAGTGGGGTGTTCCAAATATGCAGAGGTTAGTACAACCAAACGCATCTGTGGTATGTGCTGGAGCAACAAATCCGACCCATGAATGCACCACCTCGCAGCTTGAAGGACTTAAAGGATCTGTAGCTAATGTCTGGCTGTCAGATACTAAAGGACAGAGCTGTTTTGGCACCACAGGGGGGATTTACACAATATTATGCTAGTGGTTTTAATGTTGTGGCTGATCAGTGTATATAGGCTGTTACACACAGTTCTAATGAGTTTCTTCAGTATCATGATTAGGCAACTGCTTTGCCCCGAATTAAGGCTGAAATAGTAGAGATGACAAACATATTCATCAAGAAGTAATTATAGATTTAATCTGATACTTTTTTTGCTGGACCCAAGGTCTGCACTGAAAACTGTTGAGCTGATAACCAATAATCATTCATCATGTAAACTGATTAGCTTTACTGGAAACATTTTACTTCCATAGCTTTGCCCGGTCCAACATTAGCCTTGATGTAATATTTTGGTTAAGATTTTTCAGTGATTTAATATTTTTGGATAAACCTTTAAAAATTGAATTGCTTAATATATTTTATATTTTATATATTGATATTTTTATGTATGGAATTGTTTCTCTGTGGAGTTTACCTATTAACATCTCTTCCAAAGAAGGTTCTCCATCAATGTAATAAGTAGAGGTTATGCTTTGGCTAAATTAAAAGACAAAGTCATTATTAGGTCAGAGAATTATATTAAACAATAAACAATATAAAGTACATGTATTTTTTAAGCCTCTTCTGTGAATGGGGGAGCTACCTATTGGGTTAGAACATCAGTTGACCACCTAAGCCAATCCACTGAGCCCCTGCCAGTTGCTGCCCAAGTCTTCTGTTATAAAGAATTTTGGAAAAGAAAACTGGGGGCAGAGCGATCTGGCACCGGAGCACAGACTTTGGGATTAAACATTGCAAGCACAAATTGTTGATTTGTATGATTGGTCACGTGTATATAAATGTATATGTATACACCCTCTGAATTCTATGGTTTTCCATATCAGGACATAATAATAATCTCTGTTCTTTAGCAGCTTTTAAAATTAGGTAACTACAACCTCAAATGAACATCAGCACATGACCTGTTACACAGCGTCATGACTTCACAAAAATAAAGCCAAAATGACAAAATAAAAAATAAAGCCAAAATGGAGAAGCCATGTGTCGAAAAGTAAGTACCATGAAACTGTGTCTTGCTTTGTAGACAAGAAGATTAACAATTATGTCAGAAAATGGATCCAGTCTAACTGAATTCACTGTACAAGGTTTTTCAGACTTGCCACAACTTCAGTTTCCTCTTTTTATAACATTTTTATTTGTGTATCTCACCATTGTCTTCAGTAATCTTATAATTTTTGTATCTATAGTTTTGTACTCTCATTTACACACCCCCATGTACATCTTCTTGTGTAACCTATCAGTCATTGATATCTCATACACTTCGACCATTCTACCCAAACTGTTGGTCATTCTCCTCACTCAGTGTAAGACCATATCCTTTCTAGAATGCTTTATTCAGGTGTATTTTTTCATGTGCTTTGCTTGTACAGAAGTCTTATTACTGGCCGCCATGGCTTATGATCGCTATGTAGCAATCTGCCACCCTCTTCACTACTCAATTCTTATGAGTCCAAAGCACTGTGCTCGAATAGTACTTTCAGTTTGGGTCATGGGTTTATTTGATCCTGTTCTACATGCTATTTTAATTGCTAACTTATCATACTGTCACTCTCATCAAATAGACCACTTTTTCTGCGATTTAACCCCATTGCTTAAACTTACCTGTAGTGACACATTTACTATTGCGTTATGTATATATATTTATGGGACTCTCCTGTGTGTCAGTACATTTGCACTTACGTTGATATCTTATGTGTTTATTATTTCTACTATCCTAAATATACAATCAGCAAGTGGTCGAAATAAAGCTTTTTCTACCTGTAGCTCTCACATAACTTGTGTTATTATATTTTACGGAACAATTATCAGTTTGTATCTGAGACCAACATCTACGTATTCTCCAGGACAGGACAAGTTTTTTGCCCTTTTATATATTATACTTATTCCAATGCTGAATCCTCTTATTTACACCCTGAAGAATAAGGACTTTAATAAGGTTTTCAAACATTTCAACTTTTATTAGAATCCTAAACAATGAAATAGTGAATAAAAAATTGTGACAATTTTATTTTCTTGAAGAATAAGAACTTTAATTAATTTACTCCAAGAATCAAGTAATCATGTTTTTACTCTTATTTACATTGCAAAACTAAATTTAGTCAGCGAAGCCTCTGATCACCCAAACTTGCTATTTTATTATTTATTTATATACTAGCTATGCATTCCATGTGTCAGATACATGTTACGCTAATAGACTCAAACAAAAAATATGTTTTTTTTAGTAGAGACGAATAAAACATTGTTTTATCCTAAACTATACATTAATGTAATCCAATAATCCATTCCTTCAGGCATGAAGTACAAGGTAACATTTGAACCAGTAGTAGGCTTATAAACTAGATAGAGAACATATTACTGGATTTTGAGGAGTCAACAGATGTAACACATGACTAACGATGTGATAATGTTTGTTTAAAATGCTTTTTCATTCCACATTATTGAATGCATTTAACATCTACCTACAGCAGATGTTTAAAGTCTATAGTTTTGAATTGGGACCTGTTATGCAAACATGTCATTGTATCATTTTAGACTTTAACTGTCTTCTAAAATTATTAGTTTTTATACCTTTATGTCTTTGTCATATTGTGAAATGTCAAACAGGGCACTTTCTATAGATTGAATATTTGCATGTCAGGTCCAGTACAAAGCATCAATTTCATTTTCCTTGAGATTATATTTTTATTTGTAAATTCCATAAATGATCTTGAAATGTCATAATTGTTTCGGGTTGACATCTGTAAGGAATCCCTACTTTATTTAAATTTTATTTCATTCATTATTTTTCAGTTGTGTGTTCTAGCATTGTTTTGATTCATCCTGTAATTTCTTTTTTTATTTACTATATCTCATAGTTTTGTAAAGAAACTGAAACAATAAGATATAATTTTATAGAACTGCCACTTGTGGACATTACCACACAGCTGTGTCCTTGTGTACTTAGAGGAGTCAGTGCATGCAAATGCATTTCTTATGGAAAGAGCACTGATTTATAACATTTTCCGATGATACTGCTCTATGTGTCTTTTTATTGTATTTTTAAGGATATATTGACGATAATTGAAGTTTGTTTATTTTTACAAGTGTCACTTTTTTATTGAATGTCAGTATCCTTTGTGTACAGTGTCCTTGTGTTTGTTCTGGATATCATTTTTTTTGTTGTTCATGCAATGTTTTTGTTTTTAAAGTGCACTGTAAAGTAACTATGTCTGAGTAGCATTTAATGGAACCTGAATATTATGCAAGCCTGTATATATATATACACACAGACACACATTTGAATACAATGGGTTACATTCCCTTATAAAATTAAATTACCAATGTAGAGCTAACTGGATTCTCCTAAAGGGGAAGAATGGAAGCAGGGACTGCATGATCGCGATCGCCCAGTGGAAGAGACGCCCCTTGATTTTTACAGGAACATATCTCACTGAGTTGGACTGGAAGGATAACTCACAGGATTTACATAATACTAGAAAGGAAATACAAGAGTAAAAAGGAAATAAGGAATAAAAGAGTAACAATAAAAGAGTAAATAAAACATATCCAGAATTCTTTAATGTATTAAAATGTATAAATGTAATAAATATGATTGTATTCATAGTTTCCGTATGAAAATGTGTAATTGTGAGATATTATGCATTAAACATAGTCACAGTATTTTCTAATTTGTCAGCCTAATGACAGATATACTTGCATATTATAATTGGTACATCTTGTAAAAATTCGGTGGTATAAACCTACCAGTAGTGTTCACTAGATGTCTCCCTACACTTTAGTGAAGAAATCTGCAGTTTTGTATAGATAAGGCATTAAAAATGCAAAAACAAAACAAAAAAAAACAAAAAATAAATTTTGAATAAAACTTAACCTCGAAACTTGTAGTGCTTTCACAGGCACGTGGCAAGCCACGTGGTCCAAAAGAAGCAACACTAATCAGAAGTGTATCTTTCTGGTCAACCCCATTAATCCTGTATTTTGTAATTTTTTTGTTTTTTTTCTGCTGTTTTAACAAAAAAACTGGGATGGGATATGAAATGTTGAATTACATTTGACCCATCTGAATCGACAAAGGGTTAATACTTGTATTTTGGGTTTTCAAACCCTTAATCCAGTTATTTATAAAATTAATCTTGGAATTAGTTTTTCAGACTCCTAGTGGAAGATTTTGTTCTACACAGAAAGGCTGCTGAGAGAATGAGAAGTTAAGCGCCAATGAAAACATGAACTTTCAATTTCCAAAATGTTAATAATTAGTTTATTCAAAACAAGCTTTAGGGACATGTAGAGTATTATATATTCTTTTTTCCTATTAATTAGGTACGGATGTCTGGATTGACATAAGTAACAGATGGTATCAATAAGTCTAGAATGTGGTAATTGATGGTCGTGTCCTTACATGAGTTAAATTTAAAAGGACTGACGTCATTATGGTCATAGCTATATAAAATAGTGGACAAAGGACCATGAGGTTGTTGCTTGTTGTCTGTAATCTAACTCTCCCTCAGTACAGCAATTAACTGCTGGCAAGAGACCTGTACGCCAAAGACTGACGGGCAGGTAGGCAAAACGCCAATGTTTTAAAGGGTACTAAATTAAAATCAAGACAATGTGTAATGACAGTAATGTGTACAATGACAGGTGCACTTTAATTTAACCCCATTAAGGACACAACTTCTGGAATAAAAGGGAATCGTGACGGAATATTTCCATCCTTAAGGGGTTAAAAAAAATCAGTTACTTTCTAACTCCCCTCTCTACAGAGAAGAAGTGAGAACTGTTTGACCTGGCTGGTTATGTTATCCGCTTTATTATTCAGTTTTTCAGATTGAATTAAAATGCTAAATTATCATCGGAGGAAAAAAACAGGCAATTTCCAATATTCAGTAACTATATGATGCAAATGCAATTTGTGATATAGGGGGCCATGTGAATCATATGACATTTTGAAAAAAGTACATTTACATGAACACACAGATCACAGTTGTTTGAATGTTTCGCTGAAAGGAAAACTATAGCCAGGTGTATGTCATACTACTTTATTAAGTTTAATTCATTCTTACAAGACTATAAGAAAGTAGAAATTCGAACTACCAGAAAAATATATATATATTTGTACAATACAATATAAATAGTACAAATTGTGCTGCCCCAATTAAAACGCCAAACAAGAAATACATAATAAATAAAACAATCAGGGTTGGACAAAATAGTGTTCTTTCAGAAAAAAAAAAAAGATAATCTTATTTTACACATAATCTTACTTAATAAATGTTTTATTGCGTAAAAGCCCAGGAAATGGCCATTTGTGTAAAACAACACAGGGTCTGATATATAAAAATATATTGATTACAATGAGAGCTCTCACAGAGAGAAATCTTGTAAAGCTTGTACATGTAAATGCAAAACAAGCAATTCTAGGTTAAGGTAAAGGTACCACTTTTCTACTATTAGAGTTACTCAAACAAAAAAACTGTGTTTTCATAAAACACTGTTTTGGTTAGAGCAGAGTAGCCCTTGATTTGCTGGTCCATCCCTCTTTCCCGCCATAAAACTTAAAAAAAATATATATAATTTTACCACCATTCTAATGTCGAAGCCAAGTTCTCCTCTCCTGCTATCACTCCCTCTTTGTTGTAGGGCAGTGGTCCCCAACCCAGTCCACAAGTACCCCCCAACAGTCCAAGAATTAGGAATTAACCAGTTGTGTGTACGGTGTTTTTAGAAAGTAGAAAAAAAACACTTTAGACACAACAGGCTAATCTCTATATCCTGGACTGTTAGGGGGTACTTGAGGACTGGGTTGCGAACCTTTGTTGTAGGGGAAGGATGGGATGAGAGGAGAACATAGGCAGTACAGAGGTAGGGCCATGTCGTTATTAGACATCTGTGGCCAGCATTCTGTGTGTACGGACTTCAGACATCCAACTTGCACAGAATTAACAGTCTTGTTCCGGGCTGGCTAATGGTTGCAGAGGTCTTGAAATCTGAATGTGTAGCATTTCATAGTGCACATACAGAATCCAGGCACCGTGACTACTTCAAATCACTGAAGTGGTCATGGTCATAAGAGTAACCATTTCACTTGAAAAATTGATGCCCTAATCCTGCTGACTGCTGAGATATAGCATTAATAAAGGGCCTCTAGTGCTGTTTAACCAAATAAGGAGGTAGTATTCTAAGCTTAATAAAATATTATAATTATATCGGTATTATATAAAAACTAAATTAAAAACATAGCGATTTATAATTTACCAATTGGAGAATACATTAAGTCTTGACCCCTTCTTTAGCAGCTCTGCAGAAGTGAGAAGTGTGTCGTTGGACCACCAGGGAGCGTCAGAGCCCACTGGGGATCGAGGTAAGGAGGCAAATCACTGATACAAAGTTTGCCCCATTACTGGGGAACCGGGCAACCGGGCCAAACTACTTCTGACATCATAACCAATACAGCAGAGCAACCCTTTAACCCTGTATGTATTTACACAGCTGCATACAGCCACTATACTCATAGATTTAAACACAAGGCAAGCACAAACATGTGCAAACATACATATAAATATAGGCAGTTATCAAATATCAATACATGATGTTTGGACATGTTTATGCCTGCAATGTCCTCCAGTAAGTAAATTCATCAAACTCACTATGTATGCGTACCTGCAGATTATTTAGGCGGGCAGGGGTCACATTACAATTTTGGACCTAAAGGTTCTTGAAATGTAAATTCGACCCTTGATGTAGGGGTCATGTTGCATTGAATGTTCATTGTATTTTTAAAAAAGTTGGTATAATGCTTCCTTATGAATCAGCCTCATCACCAAAAAAATATTACTTGTATTACTTCTAAATACACTGCCTGGCCAAGAAAAAAGTCGCCACCAATAAAAAAGGTTGGACAGGCTTTAGCTTCGCTTACAGCATGCATTCGCTGTGGTATTGCTTCAATAAGCTTCTGCAATGTCACAAGATTTATTTCCATCCAGTGTTACATAAATTTTTCCACCAAGATCTTGTATTAATGATGGGAGAGTTGGACCACAGTGCAAAGCCATCTCCTGCACATCCCAAAGATTATCAATGGGGTTAAGGTCTGGAATCTGTGGTGGCCAATCCATATGTGAAAATGATGTTTCATTCTCCCTGAACCATTCTTTCACAATTTGAGCCCGATACATCCAGGCATTGTCATCTTGGAATATGCAAGTGCCATGAGGGAAGAAAAAAATCCATTGTTGAAATAACCTGGTCATCCAGTAAATTCAGGTAGTCCGCTGACCTCATTCTTTGGGCACATAATGTTGCTGAACCTAGACCTGACCAACTGCAGCAACCCCAGATCATAGCACTGCCCCCACTGGCTTGTACAGTAGGCACTAGGCATGATGTGTGCGTCACTTCATCTGCCTCTCTTCTTACCCTGATGCACCCATCACTGGTGGTTCCCCACTATCCTTCCAGTTTTTAATAATGCATTGGAAAGACTAACATCTTTTCCACGATCACGGGATGTGTCTTTTGAAATGGTTGTTTAAGAAATGAGAAGCTACTCATTGCATCAGTTGGGGTTAAATACCTTGTTGCCAGCTGAAAGATAATCACCCATGCAGTAACTATCTAATAGGAAGCTCTTACCTATTTGCTTAGTTAAATCCAGGCGGCGACTTTTCTTTTTGGCCAGGCAGTGTATAATGTAATAGAAAGGAAATGTATATGTAATAATAATAAGTCACTTAGAGTTCAGTAATTCTTTTAAATAGCCAAATTACTTCTAAATGGCATTCATTTTTGCCTGGCTGTCTAGGCTTACATGCATTGGCAGTACAAAGTATAATCATCTTTGACACTGAGTCTTTAAAAGATGTTTTTTACCTAAGTCGTACAAATTCAAAATTTGAGGAAATAAAATTGACTAAAAATAGATTAACTGAAAATAAAAGTTATTTTAATGGAATTTAGATTGCTACTACAGGCATTCAAACAAACACAATAAATCAATAACAAAGTTTGCAGAAGACTTCACTAGGACTGAGACATATGAACATATTAAAGAGGTATCCCAAGAACCAAAACCACTGCTACATCTTATTGGTGAATGACGGATATGGTGGCAGAACATTTTTAGTGAATCATTTTCTGTTGGTGTGACAAAAAAAAAAAAAAAGGGGGACTTCTACTCACCCCAACCCCAAGCCAATCAAAGATTCTCACTGACATCAAAATGAGGAAGCTTAATTATTTACCAACATTACTTGTATTGGTTAGCAGGATTTCACTGTGTTGAATGAGTAATTTGAAATTATGTTATTTGGACAGAAAGGTTGAATGGCATACCAGAAACAGTCGATCAATCTTTTAATCACTTATCCTCATTATGTTAACCCTTTCATGTGCACAGTGGGGCAAAATCATTATTACAATGACATTTGATTAAGCATTATAAATGTTTTTTTTGTTTTTTTTATAAATAGTACATTCAAATTCAAAGAAAAACAAAAAATAAACAGGTTAACCCGTTAGACATTTTTCTTCTTTTAGGGAGGAGAACAGAAGTGATATATGACATTTATTTTTTATTTTTATTCTTGTTCAAGTATTATTACTATTAAAAAAAAATTTAAAATAAAAAAAAGATTTTCATCAAATTTAGAATTGTTTATCTTTGAAATCCACTGTACTTTTAAAGTGAATGATATATACATGTGGAACTGCAATATTCAGAAGTACAATGTGGCCTAGAGAAAAAAAATCTGCTACATGCTAAACAATCCTGCAAATTTCTTAAAGGGGCAATCAGACCATTACAGCTCATTTAAGTGGTCTGGGTGGTGTCCATATTGCAATTCCAGAGAAACTCCAATGTTTACATTGTAGCACTAAGTCTGCTTCCAATGGTTGTCTCTCAGAAAGTCACTGGAGATGCTTCCTGCATCCAAATGGACCTTTGGTCCGGTATCTGATGCTGGATGCCCTCACGCTCTATATGAGGACATCGAGCATCAGATTGTTCCCCATAGAAAAGCACTGATTCAATGCTTTCTCATGGGGAGGTCTAATGCCGTGCAGCATTTGCTGCGCGTGCACATAAGCGCACGCTCGTCTCAGGATAGAAAAGGAGGAAGAGCCGCGAGCCAATGCCGAGGGACATCGGCGTTGGTGTAAGATAAGTAAAAAAAAAGGGGTTATAACCTTTATTCACCGGGGAGGAGGCACAAGAGGGAAGGGGAGACAATAGGGCTATAGTGCCAGGAATACAGCTTTGTATTCCTGGCACTTATAGTATCCCTTTAAAGTTACAGTCTGTCACATACAGGAACAAACCAG